GCCCAAAGAAGCATCACTGTGAGTCTGTGAGGCTGACCGTGGGCCCAGGGCCTTGGCCACTAGGTAGACACGGGGGGGGGGAGGCAGACATTCCATGCAGGTGACACAGGCACAGGGCCAAGTAGTACAGTGTCTCTGGGGTGGGAATCTGGCTAGGACACGGGAGGGCGGCACACTGTGTGCTCCCACGCTCAAGCTAGATGGTGCTCACAGAACATGCCCTGGCACTTTTGCCTTCATGGGACCCTCCTCTCCACTAGAAATACTACGAATCATGCCTTTCCACCTTGTTGGTACAAAGATGACTATGTTAATATACGTATATATGAAAACACCTTCTTTCACCTAAAAGTTCATTTTCCTTCCGATGTTCGCGGGCCCCTAAAAGTACCACAGGCCGGTGACACTGGGATTCCTCTGCCAGAGGAGTAAATCGCCTCACATTTGAAAGACTTCATTTTCTGGGTACAGTTCAGGGAAGGAGTACACCTGAAATGGGCGTAAGAGGCCTTGTGGTTGCCATGGTTCTTGATCCCCACCACAGACTTGTAAACAGACTAGCTCCAGGGAGAGTTCCAAAGCATTTACTCCTTCATCACACACACGCAGCTCTCCTAAGTGCCAGGCACTGCAGCGAGGTCTCTGCCCTGGGGACGCCCCGCACACGAGGTTCAGCGGGCTCCTGGCAGCTCCTCCGGGCCGGGCCGGGCCGGGCGCGGAGGGTTTCCCCACCACCACGCCTCACCGAACCATAACCAGCCACACAACCACCGCGTCCACCGAGGAGCGCCAGGCTGCGACTGGCACAAGGCCACTGCTGGGAGGACGCCTGTGATGCCAGGTGCTCCGCGAGCTGCTCTCCGCCCCCAGACCCTCGGCCCGACGCCTGCCGGAAGGAGGATGCGTCCGAGTCGCGCTCCGGGCCGCCGTCACCCTCCGTCCCCAGGGCTCAGAGGACGCGGGGCCAGGAGCAAGCTCCTCCCCAACAGACTCGCACGACCTACGAGGCGCCCCGGCCAGGCAAGCTGGGCACACGCTCGGAAAGGAGACCGACGGCTCGCGAGCCAGGATCTCCCCTTCCCCGGGCGCGGCCCCGCGGGACGTCGCCGCGGGCGGAGGTCCC